TCAGATAAAATTTCGAGTATTTAATGTTTGTGACTTACACGGTCCATACCACTTCTCCTTCGCCACTGTTAATAATTTTAGATTAAAAGAATTTTAACTGCATGTAAAAACTATATACTTACATTCAAATACCTGAAATATTAAAAAAGTAACAAAGGGATTTTGTTGAAATAAATAGACTATTATATACATTTACTATGTAAGTAAAATGTTTTATTTATTTAAACAGGATGCTCATTATTATTAATATTATTATTTTGTTTCCTTATTCTCCGAGTATATTACAAACTAAATAATTACAATTAGAATACAGTGTACACGATCCTCAGGAACTCAGGGAAAGCGCACAAACCAAGGAATTATTACAGTTAAGTCAAATAGTAAATGCGGCATCGTCAGTCTCTCTCTTATAAATATTAATCGATCTGATATATATTCTTTACATACATTATTTCTCTACCTAAATGGAATGATCTTATTTACAATATTTCCACGCAATCTACTTACAATTGGATTACATAATAATACACGTCTAGAAAAAAAAAACACTTTTAAAAAGTAATGCAATTAAAATAAACATTATAAAAACATAAATTCATTCAATATTTTTTTCTTTTTAAATGAATTTAAGTGTAAATAGAAAATCGCACAGTTTGTTGCTTGTGTTATTTAAGACAAGGTAGATGAACCGTGAAGAGAATACCTGGGGGTTTCCTTAAACTTTGTTATTTGGGAAAATGTCCAACTAAATTTCCAATATAAGCGCTTTGTAAATAAATTTCTTTATTTCGTCGCAAACTGGAACTAAATCCGTCGGAATACTACTTTAAACTTTACATTTTCATCGGCGTAAATAGAATACGAGGCACGACAACACCGAACAAAACGAAATAAAGACGGAGATAGAGACACAGGAATAATAATAACAACAAAAAGAGACTGGAAAGAAGAGAGAATAAAACGAGTTGAAACGTGGCTCAGAAATAGTACATGACGAACAATTAGCAGACATAATAAATAAATGGTACAAATGATGTTGCTTTGTTCGTTCATTAGTCGTAATTTATCGCAGACTGGTTTCGTTGCTTTGATCTTTGCTGAAGATGACGTAAAACGTTGTAATAAGTTTTTTTTGTTATAAAAAAATGGAATTTGCTTTATTTAAATTACTGTAACTTCGGTTTGAATTTTAATTAGTTTCTTTGTACATTTGCTTTAGAAATATTTTAAATTATTTGTTTACTCTCTATAATATTTTTTTCTGTAATTGAAATTTGATTATTTATGTGTAAAATTTAATAATTATAAAATACAGAAATAAAAAATATATATAAAAAAACAAACAGAAAATGGATGCGCCGGGTAAGCATAAATATTTTTTATTTTGAGAAATATGTTGAGAAATATAAAAATAAAGTTATGTCGAAGAAATAATTTCAAATTATTTTATACAATAGTATAATTCAATAGTATTTCTTGTTGTTGTTAGTAACGTCATTGATGTATGCTTTTTTTCTTAAAATTTAGAATTCAATATTATTCATTTAAATGTTTTAAATAAAAAATTGCTGATAATGAATTTTTAACTATAAAAAAGAGAAATAAGTTGAAAATGTCCAATGTCCAATAAAAAAAGGTTCATAATATAATTTTCTAAGGAAAATAGAAAATGAAGGCGGAAAGACTGCTGCCAATGTATATGTAAAAATGATACAGTAAATTATGTTTATTGTTAGTAACTTTTTGATTTTTTTTTTAATAAATTAATGAAAATATCCACTTCCATTTAATACTTTCAACATATTTAATTTGTTTAAGAAATTAGAATTTTCAATATTTTCTTTTTTAAATTTCATGAACTAAAAATGTTGATTCAAATATTTTCCCCTTTACGTAAAAGCATATAATTAATTAAACATTATTTATTGCATAATACGCCCATACTGTGCATTCTAGACAGAAGCATTGTAGTTGTAGTTTTATGTTGTATGTGAATATGCAAAGACCTGTAAATAACAACGCTCGTACGCATTTCGTCTGTTCGAAATTAATTAGTTTTGAAATTCGAATAATCAAATTACCGCATTATAATCATTTTATGCAGTGTTACATGAAAACGCGCAATTCATATGTATGTCTGTTCCTGCCGTTCGTTTTACAATTTTATTATTTTTTTCGGCGACGCGCTTTTGCGGAGCTTTGTGCGATCGTATGAATCATTTTAGAGTGGACGAATATTATTTTCCTGCGGGATTTAGGAGCAGGACTCATCCATCACCATTGCAGAAGCGTGCGGCGTTTAATGAAAATAAAATATACGCTGGACCCATTTGTCAATTACACTGCGTTCAGAAGGGGATGGACATTCTTTCGTTTCATTTTATAGGTATGTTCGCTAATTGGCAATTGTCGATAAATAAATAATTTCAACTATAATTAAAAATACGACCATTAACAATCGAATATGAATTTATTACTTGTCCATTCTGGAATTTCTATACTTCTTATATCGAATATCGAAAAATAGGAAAATTGACAACTTAATTTCAAATTTAGGTCAATTAAGGTTAGATAATTTCGTAGAATTTAGAACTTAACCTGAAGTAACATTAATAAATAGTATGTAATAATTATTTGTAACATTACCTAATTCAGTTCACGAATTTCAATTTGGTTTTCGAACTTGTACGAAAATGGTATATCGATATTGGAAATGTATTTGCTGCAGGAATTTGGACAATTAAAAGTAATTCCGTTATTTTTACTTGAAGGGAAATGGCATACATATTTATAGGAAATGTATGACTGATACTAATAAAAATATGCTTATAAAATATCCTATTTACTGCAGGATAATTAGAAATAATTAGATTTTCGTACATAATGGAATTGCCATACAGATAGTGGAAATGTACGACTAGTTATATCGAAATACCGACAGTATCAAAATTTAATTTAAATTTAATTGAATGAAGACAACCGCAATCCCAACAGTATCCGACAACGATGATCCCGACAGTATTATTATGGTTGTCGGGATTTTGATACCGTCTGGATTATGGTTGTCTGCATTTCCAATGTCAGGATTTCGGTTTTCGGGATTTTGATTGCCACCAAGAATTACAACATCCGTCATACCGCAGGTCTTTCGGACAATTACAAACAATTCGGTTGCCACATTTTCATTCGGTTTTCGGACTTGAATGGAAATGTATGACTGGTAATAATAAAAATACATTTATAATAGGTCCTATTTACTGAATTTCGGACAATTAAAAATAATTCGGTTTGCGAACTTAAAGGAAAATGGTATACTGAAAACGAAAGACGTAATAGTGAATAATTCTCTATTTTTCCCATATTTCAGTAACTCTCTCTTTGCAGATTAAGTTGAGAAAATGTTATAGTTGAAACGAATTTTCTTTTAATGGTTACAATGAAAGTTATTTATAATATTATATTATTTAATATTTTATGTATAGCAATAGTGCGGGTTTTGCACGGTTTGAAACCGGACAAATCGAGGACTTTATAATGAACAGCACAAAAGAAACTTGATTATAGTGGTAAAAACAACATTCATTTAATTTTTTATTTTTATTTTTTTATAAATCCGCACTGATCGAAGCAGGACTATATGAGGTATTGCTGTATTTTCCTTATATGTCAACAATTTTACCCTTGAATTACTATTATAAAGATTAAAATATGTGGGCTTCGAGAACAACTGCAACCTTACATAAATTTGTTTGAGGTAATAATTTCGATTTATTTTATAAAAATAAAATAATTAAAATTAATTAATTGCCAAAATAATATTATTTATTTCATATATTTGTATAAAATAATTGTTTTAAAAAATATACTGTAACAATAACATAAATTCGATAATAATTTTTTTATTTCATACGCAGTAAAATATAAATACAAAATAATAATTTATTGAATAATATATGTTTGAATGAAAATGGAATAAAAATTTAAGTGCTTTTTCGGCCTTGTAATGAATATATTATAAGGCCGAAAATAATTGTATTTTCTGATTGTATTGATATTGGCTATTGACCAATAATTGATATTTGTTAAAAAAATCTTGTTTGTTAGAAAAGTTTCAATTTTATACATACACTTTTTATGAAATATCCAATTTAGGTGATACATATACATTATTTGATTATTTTAAACATATTTTTTTAAAATTTTATAATAAGAAGAAATTTCATAAATTTTCATTTTGCATATTTTTGCGTATTCTATGGAAAATTTCATTGATTGTACAAATAAAATATATTATTTTTATCAAAATTGTATTCACATGCGTTAAATGAGAAGATTCAAATGAGAAGTTTCTGTTAAAGTATTCAATATAATTATAATTGAAAGAAACATTTATTTATTTTATTATGATGAAAACAACATTTGATAAATATGTTTCAATTTTAAAAGAAAATGTTTTTCATGTCATATAAAAATTAACATCTTTAGTGAATACATACAAATATAATTGGCTTTTGTTCTCTTCTTACATATATAACGGTGCTTTACAGCAAACTTTTCATTCATATCATATTCAATTGTTTCATAAAACGTTACTCCATTATGTTAGTGTTTAATAAAAAATAATGTAAAATGTATAAAGAAAAATGTAGTTAAATCTAACAAAGTTGATATTGTATTGATATATGAATATTTATAATATTTCCATTACTTTAGAATAAGCAAATCCACATTATACGTCAGATTAAATTGAATTCTTGCGTAGAACGAGTTGTCATTTGTCAATTAAATTTCGTAAAACGAATCTTACCTGCTTCTCCAATTTAGAGTTATGTAAAAACGAAAATAATAAAATATTATTAATGTAATTCCAATGAAGATGAGCGAAAATATTCGATTCAAAAGAATTTTTCAATGAAGTTTGCAAGTGTAATATTATGTAATCCAATGTTGTCCTTATATACTTTATATATTTTTTACATTGCTTAATACTAATTATACATATTTTAAATTTCTAACGTGTTTCTCTAAAACTGTACGAGAAAAAAGAATACAAAATAAATCTGGAATGTCTTCAGTTGCACGCACTTCAACGGATATTGCATCAAAAAAAACACACACATACACACATAAAGACATTTAGCATTGGAATTTAATACTGCGGCCTGCGTAACTAACCAACTTTTACATATGTACAAGTGCGAGGAGAGCCATCAATGCGAAGATTCGTTTGTAGTCTGATGGGATGCAGATGGAAGCCGACGAAGATGAGGAGGAAGATGCGAAGGCGAAGTCTTCTTCGGCGACAGCGGACAATTCCTCTCTGTTGGTATCGCCAGGATTGCTGCGGAGCCTCAAATCTAATAACAGAGAAGAGGAAACACACGCATTGTTCATTCATTATTTAATATAAATGAAAAGTCCGGGAAATTTTGCACAAAATGCCACATGCAATGCGAAACAATAGCTCCATCTCTGTTTCTACTTCTGTTCTTCTCTCGTATTTTCGCATTGCGGGCGAAAATTTCGTGCAAGTCGGTCATAAAGTGGCGCAAATTAAAAATGAAATATTCAAATGAATTATATTTGTGCAGCTTCTAAACGGCCGGTTCTTCCAACTGTGAACGAGTTTTTTTATTTTTATTTTTTTTACTCTCTTTTTGTTTTGTGGGAGTATGTGTATGTATGCTCTTTTCGCGTTTTTTACTAACTCTCCTTTTGTGCGTTCCTCTCTTCATGTAATAATGATGCATGCATATATCGCCTTTCTATGAGAACTGTACCAGACGTAACTGAATTTACTAATTTACCTCGCTCCTTTGTTGTTTCCGGATCGAAAATCTCGTTGCTATTTGGGTCCGCAATTGGGGTCGACTCTTTTTGGCGTCCACGTTGTTTTAAAATGTCTGTACAAACACAACAAAAATATACAAAAATTCCCTGTTTTTTTTAAATAGAATGAATATAAAGAATTTTACCTGAATTAATAAAAATATTTAATTGTTTGAAAGCTTATTAACTAATAATAATTTATCTGTCATTTCGAATGTAATGAATGAAATTTTTAAATAAAATCCAGTTTTTGTTGAATTAAAAAAACAGAAATACCTCGAATAGTGCGGATTAGTCCACATTCTTTATAGTCCGGCTTATATAAATGATCGTTTTTTCTTCTTTTATACAGATAAGTCTCTTTTTCTGTTCTGTACAGTAACTCCTCGCAGAGGAGTTTGAAACTCGACTAATCCAGGAACTAAATTTATACAAAAGTAGACAGAAAATTGACTGAATTAAAAAAAAAAGATTAATAATGTTAGAATTTTATTTTTTATTGTAATTACAATTCAGTTTGTTTTGACATTTTCAAACAGGAATATAGAGAACAGGGCTTACCGAAGCCGTACAATGCGAGGTTTGCTGTAATATATTATTATAGAAAAGCCAAAAATACAATTTGATGCAGATGAAATCTGATAAAATTGAGAAATATGAAACTTATAAATAATTATGCAAATCTAAAAAAATTGTAATTTCTTAATATTTATTAAATATATATGTATAGGAAAAACTTTGAATTAACTTTAAATTAGTTTCGAGATATTATCTAATTTGAGACTGAATATTAGGTGAATATGCTATACTACTTTGAATTATTTATATTAGAGCTTTATATATTTTAAACTGTATTCGAATAATAGTTTTATACAAAATATATATTTAATTTGTAATTTTATAAATGTTTTATCTATTTATAAAGTTTTGATGTTTGACGTTAAAAAATAGTTATTAATTAAAGCCAATTCTACAAACTAAAGTTTAAAATGTACATATTTTCTTCAAGTTAAAATGTCTTATTTTATATATCAAAATGTGACTTTGCTTTACTGTTTGATTTAGCTCTCAATGTTTAGAAAATAATCGTTTTTTTAGTGTGAAATAAAACTGCTTTTTATATACGAAGAATGAACTTTTTTCAATTATACTTCATGATTCAGCGCTTCACATATTTTTTGCGAGCATTTGCAGCTTTCTTGCCTTTACGAAAATAAAAAAAGTATGTCGAAAATGTTCGGTTTTGCACTCCTGTTAAAATTAGCTCTATACTTACAACCGCTAACAAAAATACGTACAATTAACTTGTAAAGGAAGCTAAAAGTGACAACTTTCAAATGACAAAAGGAAAAAAAATAATAATATTGACGTAAGTTCTTCATAACAAAGATAACCCTATCAATTTGTGAAAAGTGAAATTACTTTCTTTCCAACCCAATTAATTAATAACTTATTTAATTTAATTAAAAATTTTGAAGTCAAAACAATATTTAATGATACAAAATTCAATATTTAAATTGAAGTGAAAATAGTTCTTGTTTATATTCCAATTAAAGCTGAATTATGAATATTATTCTTATCAATATAGATTTAATTTAATTGCAGAAAAATATTAGAGCAGACAGACGTCAATAACCTTTTGTAACAGTTATTTTTTTAGTATCATGATTTTATAATTGGAAATATTTAAGCATTTAAACTATACAATAATAATTTATTAAGGATAAAAACAATGAAATATATGAAGTTAGATTTTGAGCACAAAATTAGATGAAAAATCCAAAAACATTTTTTTATATAATTTGAAATATAATAAATTGAGTATATTTGGTTGGAATGAAGTAACAAAATAAGTTTAAAAGTAATAATCAAAATTAATATAGCAAATATTTGTTTAAGTCTATGAATCAAGAAATTGACAGAAGGTTTTTTGTGCAGTAAAACCTCAGCATTAAGATTCTAAACCTAAATAAGCTCTAATTTTACATATTTATTATGTATAAAAGTTATATACAATAAATAAGTTAATATATGTTGAAATTACTTCGTTTAACGCTAAACTAAATATAACAGCATTATCTACAAGAGGATGTACATTACTTATAAAAAAATATGAAAACTATTAGATATTATCACTTTATATTAAGAACTTATATATGAAACATGCGCAATAAATTATATAATAGAAATAATGAATACAAAAAGAAACTTTTTTTTCCAATTATAAGTAGTAACATATAAAACAAACAAAAAAAACAAATTAATATAGAACGAAGAAGAGACGTGTACGTGCATTTGCTTTGGTGGATAAGCGGATAACAGTGAAATGAAGAAAAAAAACCGAAACATAACGAAAGTTTGCAGAGGTTTATTACCTTTCTCCACTGTCGTTTGCAAAGGAGCTGATGATGTGGTCGTTATTACTTTTTGAGTGGAAGGAGTTGGTATGTCTAGAAAAAAAGCAAGTTTTAATGAGCGAAAATAAATAGAATGTGATGTGTATATGTGTGTGAGCATATCTATAGGTATATTTCTGTGTGAGTGATAGAGTGTGTGCTCTTTTGGGGAATGAAGAAAGAGAAAATCGATGCTAGTAAGCTCGCAGATGTTCCTGACGAAATGACATACGATCCGCCTTTCTGGGGGGATACATATTTTCCGTTCAAAGGATTTGCCTGTCTGTAGCCACTTCGAGGTATAACTAAATGGTTCAACCCGATTATACTTTTTTTTATCTCTTTCTTCCTCATTTTTTTTCTGAATGTGTTTGTTATTGTTGCTGATGGTGAGGGTGATATCGTTCGTGTGCAGTGATCGTGTAGGATGAATTGGGAGGGTTAAGTGTATCGAATGAAAACTCACGGTATAGCTTGATGGTGCCGTCGGTCTCTCCAAGGGAATTCTTCGAGACGCACTTGTATGATCCATAGTCGGAAGCGGTCACAGCTCGTATTGTTAACTTCATGTGCACTTTGTAAGCGTTATCCACCAGAACTGGCTCGTATTTCGCCCCTGAGAACAGTTAATTACCATCACTTTTTGCACTCACTTTGCTGAACTTCGCCAACAAGTTTACATTTATTATACGCATTTTTAAAGAGATTAAATCAAATACTCTCACAACCACATCAAAAACAAAAGCGTTTGAAAACATTCATAATGAAGCAACGATAAACGAAACAACTTTAAGCAACAATTTAGACAAAACCAATCAGAAAAAATTGCTGAAAAAATACAATACAATAATCGAATTATAAGATTTTTTTATTCTTAGCAATTATAATAATTCATTAATACAAACATTTTTGTTTGTTGTAAGGAATTTAATTTATTTCTTATATTTTTTAGAGAATAAAGAAAATTTGGGTACTTATTTTATTGAATTGCAAGCTGTATAAATTATTTAATATGTTATACATTAAAATAAAATAAAAATGGTACCAAAATATTGTCTATTTGTTTCTTAACAGTATCTCTTATATTTGAAATAAACAGTTTATAAATAGATCTATGGTTTATAGAGCTAATGAAAGAAACTATATTAATCGTCGAATAAAATCAGAAAAATCAGTCAAAAACAAAAATTTAGATTTAAATACTTTGAACACATCAAAAGTCATAAAGTTACAATTTAACTAATGTGAAGTGTATAAGCCCCTAGAAAACAAAAATACCATACCAATAGCTCAATAAAATAAGACAGTATCAAAATTATTAGCTCAAATTTTGGAGGATCTGAAAGGAAACTAGAAGAATTTAAAGAACGAAATTTGAATGTTATATGTATTTGTATTAGTAGATTAAGTATAATTAATCAATGACCCTATAGGTATGGAAATTGTATGGAATGAACATATAAGATTTCCTTACATACATCTTCTTTTGTCATATGAAAATAATATAGATAAGTTTATAGTTTTTGTGTCATCATAACTAACAAAGTTTAACTATTCCAATTATTCAGTTATTTTATCAATGAGTTAATTTTAGTGTTCCTTCTTAAAATCTATAGAAGATGTATCTGGTAAATGGAAGATAGATTTAAAAAAGTTCAAATGAAAAATAAATTCACAAAAAGACATGAAACAGCAAAGGCAGGAAGTTGTATCATATTTATAAAAAAATTAAAATTTAAAAGCTTATTCATAGCCCTATTCAATATAATTCTTGCAAATCCTCTTTCTCTTAGATTTAAGTTATTAGAATTATCATTATTAATTTATTTACAATTTTTTATTGTCCCCGTTTTGTCTCAACTTAATAAATTTTAGTATATTATTATCTTGTTTCATTCATATACTCTTTTTGTCATCAATCCAACAATTATAAAAAAATACATAATTTCCTTACGAACTTTAGCAAAAAAAGAAAATTGTAAGTAATTGTGTTCAATTTTAATTATTTTAAAATGTTGACTAAATGTCTCTAAAGAAAAAGCTATTTATAAAGACATAGTTCATATGAAATGCAACGTTCCCTATTCTTGCATAATGCAAGACCCTATTTCATATCTGGACTGTCCGGTAATTTTTCACGTCCGCGAATGGGACAGAAATCCAGCTATTGCATTTTGAGTTATCCTCGAATCTCTAGCAATTTCTCAGCGAAGTCTCGTACAAATCTCCTTAGATCATTGCTCTCTCAGTAATGAAAACCATAAACTTTCAAACAGATCCAAAGTATTATAACATATATGAACGAAAACTATTTTTGTAACTGATAGTATTGATTCACTTCTAATTTAAGAAAATGATGAAATTTTGAAATGCTTCAATTTATTACAAAAAAACATAAAACTAGGAAGTATATAATATAAATATAATTAATTAAATTTGTAATTAACAAATTATTTTTTTAGATAATTAACAAAAACGAAAATATTAAATTTTGCAGATATATTATGAAATTTATAAATTAAACAAACACATAAAACTAATAATAATTCATATTTTTACTATAAATATTTAATTTTTTGATGTTGAAATATTATGCGCTTGACTATTTGCTTAATAAAAAGAGTAAGTTAAAAGCATTTCATCTCTCATCGAATATTTATTGGCGTAATATGGAAAATTTACGTTTTTCAATAAAGAAAATCGAGAGAGTTCATAGTAGAGGAAAATTAAAATTTTGCGGATGTTTAAATAGCTTACATCAAATGAAAAATTTAGTTTCATAAGTTGAAAGTTTGCAGCCGTGAACTAGCCCAGTTTTCCCGGGGTTAAGGGAAGGTCGACAGTTAGAGGAAAGTATGTTCGTACATATATATATGTATATATAGATTTATATGTGGTGGATATAACTGGTGGCATAAAATGAAACGTAATAAATGAGATTTACGGTTTTGCTTGAAACTTTCGGACGATAAACTAGATCAAATTAAAATTGTATAAACTGACTAGATTAAAGTGGGAATTTATTAGGGTCTGAAATCCATTGTCAAAACTTGTCGTATTTATTATGTAGACGGGATCGACGATGAGCGTCTAGTCTAGGTGGAGGTTGGAGGTGGAGGCGTGCACTAAATCAGGGAATGTTTCGAATTTATATTGGAAGGGTGAGAGGTGTGTTGTAGAGAAGTAGACATGATGGGACAATTCTCTGGGTAAAATTGCCGGGAATTGGGAATACGTCCCGATATGAATTGTTCATTACGTTGTCAAAAAGTGTCTAGCCTGTGACCGCCCACGTTGAAATATTCATACGGCCAATCCACGTACGAATCTATATAGACACACGCGCGATAACAGTTAAGTATGTGATAAATTCTGGTCCGCAGCTGCAACTAAATGGATTTTCAATTCCGCCATTCTACAAAATCCTTGCCACCTCAACCCCGCACAGCGCCCACCATTTCTCCTCCCACTCTCATCACTGCGGATGGAATTTCGTAGTTACACATTATCCTTCCGAAAACAAAGGTAGCATCAGCAAATAGAGAAACCATCGGCGGAGCCGGATAAGAGCGAAGCACAAGGCATGCATTGCTCTCAAGCTAGAGCAACTCGTAAAGAGATAGAGGGAGATAGAGAGAAGAGTTGTATCTGTATATATATATATGAGAGCAGAGAGGAACAACAGCTGAAGTGGTAATATGTAACTCGGGCAAATCGCAATGTAAACACGCAAATATCTTGCTATAATCCCGTTGGATTTGCTTGACGACGTAACGGTTGCGTGTTTATCATTTCCGCACGTTTCCGGTTCTTGCCAAACGGTGCGAGAACGAGGAAGAGCTATTGACCGAAGTAATAGGGTTTCTCGGTTAAAAACCGTGTTTTGATAAATTTGTGTATTTAAAAAAACTTTTTTTTATATTTTACAACAATTTTTTTGATAAATTTGTAATATCTAGTGTTAATATATGTAAAAAAAACTATATTAGATGCAAAAAAAATAATAACAGAACTGGTTAACAGTATTTCTGTATCAATCAATCGAAAATGATGGTGTTGGAACTTTATTGAAAGCAGAAGATGAGGGTTTTTAGTTGAAGATTGAGAAATTTTTGTTAGCATCGAAGACAAAGAAAATAAAAATTAATATTTCGTTTTAGTGAAAATGATTCTGACTTAGAAAAAAAGAACAAAACAATCAATTTTAGACTGTTTTACATATGTTAATTGACTGTTCGAACATTTTCAATTTGTTGACGAAGAACTTATTCTATCCATAGTATTTTCATCTCTGAAAACGTTATGACTGTTACCTAAGTTGTACTAAAGGAATAGAAGCTGAAGATATATCGGAATATATCGGAGAGGGAAATATATTTAATCAAAAAAAATTCTAAAGGAGGACATATAAAATTCTGTTTTGTTCATTGATTTTTTTGAAAAAATAATATCAAATCTAAAAATATGAGCAATAAGGAAGAGCAACAATTTATATTAATTAATTGGTAAACGTTAAGTTCAGTGGACAGTGAGAGAGTATATACAACAGGCAATTTTGTACGTTCGAAATTTTTCTGCTTTTACAATATAAAAACAATAAATATTTTTTTAATTTTATTTGCATTATTTTTCACTTTAAACTATTTTTCTAGTGCACACTGAAAACTATTCTTTACTTTAGTAATAGTGAATAAATACCTGTATTTTTACCTTGGGATATGATGTTGCCACCGTCACGTGTCCAGTAATTAATCGATTTGGGGTAAGCCTCTGAGTGGCACTCAAGCGTTATCTGTTGGCCTTCGATGGCTCCCACCAGTTGATTTTGGATCCAGATCATGGGCGGAACTGTTGATGAATAAAGAGTAAAGCGTACACGCACGGACGTTTGAAGAGCATGCATGTTAGATGATATTCTATGGTACTCACAGTGGACGATCAGCATTATCCTTTTGCTCACTGAAGGAGGAACACCGTTTGACGCTATGCAAAGATACGGTCCCATGTGCAGTCTGTTTACTTTGCTTATGTTGAATATCGTCCCATCGACCGTCGGCACTGCAACAAATTGTTAACACAACTGTACTGTACTGTAAATACAAGGAGAATCTTAAATAATCAAAGACAGTTTATAAACATCGACTGATTGCTTATATATTTACTCCAGAGCTACCCAACCTTATTGCAACCTATTTTTCTGACTAAATTAATTGGATAAGCTTTAGTTTTGTGGTACAACAGCGGCGGGCACACTCAATTTAGTCCTCGAGTACGCGCGGACATAGGATTGGAAACAGAATAATTAAGTATTCGTCAAACACATATGAACACAATCAAATTATTAAAAACTGTCATAAATATCTTATAATTATAATAAAAAAAATTCAATATTTTCTATACCTAATTACATTCTAATTATAAATATGACAGAATAGGAGATATTAATGAGTAGTTTCCATATGTTTTACTGTTGAAATAAGTATTTTAGGAATTATATCTTTACTATCGATATTAAACATCTGTCCTTTGAATAACTGTTATGAATTAATCAGTTTATAACAAATTTCCACTTCATTACGCTGTAAAAATAATAATGTAATATAGTTTTAAGGTTTTGTTTTATTCAGATATTAATAAATAAATCTAACGGTATGTTCGTATTACTTTATTTTACTAAAGTGAGGATGAAAATGTGTGAAAGTACTTCATGCAATATTTATTAATTTGTATTAAATAAATATTTGCGAATGAATAAAAACTTTATCCAGCAGTGTTGAAAGAAATTTATCAGAAAATAATGGAATTAGTAAAGAAAATATTTCAAGTATAAAGCCATAAAGCTAATGAGATATCTTCTGATTATTTACTCATGAAAAAAAATAGAAATGCCTAAGAAACTCTATGAAAATAACGAAAATATTTATGTTTTATTTGTATGTGAAAAGGTAAAATAAAAATATAGAAGATGAACAATTATAGCGTAACTAGCAAAAAGCCTGAATCACCTAATTAATAGCTGAGATGATTACAAAATATTACTTGATATACTTTATCCGAAGTATCAAGGGTTTTATTATATATGAGTGAATATACATATTTAAGTTAATTCATTTATATCAATTTTAAGGAAATATCTTACATGTAACGCTTATTTTTCCTATTTAATTTTATAATTTACATTCATTTTTAAACATAATTATATTAACACACATGTGTAAACTTTACGAAGTGTTGTTCATATGCAATTAAGAACCACTTGAATTAACGAAGATTAAATAGTCTAGACTTTGGACCTTTGTATGCTAAACAGAGACATTATGTACCAAAGTCCACGATATTTTTTTACTCGACATAGGCAGTTACAGGCTGAAAATCCCACGGCAAAACTTTAATTATGTAACCCTTCACTAAGCCCAGATTTAGGATGAATTTATTGAGTGTGACCCTGGTCCCCTGGAATCTCCTTTTGTTTGATACTTTGGCCTCACAACTACTAAATTATATACAATACATTCATAAATTACAAACAGTAATTGAATATTTTTCAATTTAATTATCTAATGGAAAGTTTTGTTTAAACATAAATTCACAAAACTATAATAAAATGTTAATAAGTATTGATTATATTAGTAATTAAATTATTTTATTTTACATCAAATTTAGATTATAATTATAATCGAGGAAATTAAAATGAGAAGAAAATTATGTAAAATATTTGATGTGGAAATTCATAGCTTCATAACACTAAATATTTCGTAGAGTATCAGCAAAATAATAATATAAATATTATAATTTTTTTTAAATAAAAGGATTAGCAGTTTTTACTTATATCAAGTCTGTTAGTAACAAACAGACCGGGATATTGGAGAAACCGTACTATGCGAGGTATTGCATTATTACAAAAAAAAAGATCAATGCAGATATATCATATTAAACAAAGTGAGAAATATGCACAACGGGAAATCAAAGGAAAGATTGATTTCAGTTATAAAGTTATAAAAAAAATAAAAAGAAAGGAAAAAAATCGTCTCCAACTTCGGTAGTAAAAAGGGAAGCTCTCGCAAAAGGTTAGGATCTGGCGGAAATCGAAGTTCCCTTTGTTTGATAAGTTTATTAATATTTCAGTGACTTTTAAAATGACGCAAAAGCGAATCAAAATTTTATAAATTTTGCTTTTCCTTCCTGAAATATATTATTTATTGTGCGCAGGCAGGCAATATGCATTTCCTTTCGAATGAACATTTCATTAAAAAACGTTAAGAATTATTACTTATTATAGTGTACATAGGTATAAACAATGTAGTATAATTGCAGCCCAACGGCTTGCACAGTAGTGTCGTATTCGAATTTACGACCGGATTTATTTGTTGGCAACGCTGTAACAATGTAAAATAACAGACGGCTGTTTCTTATAAATTTAAATTGGCTTCGTCTTTATATTTTTAAGTTGCATGCAAGTAAGTCTCCTCTTTCATGCTAAAGCCATCCATCCATCCGATATCTGTAAAAACGTTACGTTTATGTCTTCACTTCGACAGTCCCCATGCAAATTCTGTTTTACAATGAAAAGCATGAGTTACTTCCGTAAAACCGAGAACCTTATATATAGTTTAAAATAATTACAGTAGTTCTTTATGTACAAATTTCGCTAATAATTATTTATTAGTGAATTTCCATTTTAATTTTCGCTACTTCAAATTCAATTAACCTGAATAAATAATGCAATTTGTTAGACGCATTTGCATTATTACACATCAAAATCACGCAGTATTATTTCATAATTTAAATATCATATTTATCTATTATGTTAAATTAGAATATATAAAAGTATCTAATTGAAAAATATGATAAAAAATTTGAATATACAGTGAACATTTGCTGTTAGACATAAATCGTTACCAAAATGTTCGAAAAAAAAAATTTGTTCGTCAACCGAAACTCACTTTTCCGAGTGTCAATTTTTTTGTTTAGGAATTGAAAAACTGTTTGTAAACCGGATTTGATGTTTGTTCGAGAACAGAATTGTTAATGATTCTAATTGAACGTTACCAGAACTATTGTATGCAAGTAAAGTGTAACTAAAGCTATTCTTGAATTTTATAAATTCTAGATGTTCAACAATAAGAAATGGAGAATAATCCGGATGAGGACAACAGTTTGTAATAAAAAATCGTTTTTTGTTAATGCAGGAAATCGTAATAAATAATGTATGGTATAATAGAGTTCGTTCACGATTTTAAAATGGCTCACTTTTCCGACGAAGCTTTCAGGTTACATGGATGAAGTCCATAAATTATTTTTATAAGTAAATGTACGTATTTACGGCTTGAAATTATACATTTTTTTCCGATTAAGCCATCAAGTTATTATACATCGATTCGCATCACATTTTTTTTTTGGAAAATTAATAAAATGTACAAGTGTATAAGTTATATATATTTTTACTTATTTAGTATTTCGCATGTCCGGATTTTTATGTAAAATTTCTCAAACAAAACATTATCACATAATTTATAATCTTCTTATTGATTCAGTTTAGAAAGTTTTGGTGAATTGTATTTCTGTTTCCTGAAAAAAAGTACTGTAAAACTGTTCTAATAAGAATACGTTTAAAATAATAAAATAAAAACAGTATAATGATAAATAAAGACAGTGAGATTATAATGATACAGGAAACCTACTACTATTCTATCTGGACTATTAAACCGCAATCAGAGTACTTGAATCATCCCCAGTTTTCCGGTTGCGCGCCATCAAAGCTATTCTTCTTTCATTTCACCCAGATGGCCGTTGATATGTGCGGATGAAGACAGGAATCTGGTGTTTAATTTCACCTTCGTGACAGCCACAAAAGCGGGAATTAACGTACGGCGTTACAGAATCATCAATTAAAAAAGTGTGCAGTCCGTTGGGGGCGGCGCGATTTATTCCCGTTATTTACGGCCGTCCGGTAGATCGCGATAACAAGATTATATTTTAACACTTTCGCAATTGCGTGGGAGGCGTTCGATTGCGTGCGGCCACTTTTGATGTGCGTGATGGCAATTACATGGGATATGCATCAAAGGGTGACACTAGATCATCGGAGTCGACTCTTTCGTAGTTTTTTTTTTCATCCAACCCCCGTTTGCCACAATTATCATTACATCCGAAATTGAAACGGCGGACACGTGAAATGGAAATGCCGTTTCATGGCTTTCAATTAATATTCCCCCACGTACGGAAGCGAGCTTAATTAAGATTTCAGCTATAAACTTCAGTCTCGCCACTTTTACCAGTTTTATTTTCAGTTTCTATCGTAAAATGCGGAGCGAATGTGCGAGATAGAAAAAGATGGTGGGAATTGGAATAGGAGAGAGAAGATGAAAAACAGCGGAGCGAAATTAATCATAAATCAGAATTTCATCCGCGTGCTTGGAGAATTGATTGGCGTGAAGGAAATGATCTTTTTTTTTGTTTCTATTCCTTTTTATACGCATCTATGCGGTTGTTTTCCGACGTAAATTTCATGTTAAAAAAAGGTGATGAAAAAAAAATCTGAAACGTTGAACAGCAACGCACGCAAATATTCTATTAGCAATACGCATTTCATATATTTTTTTAAAATAATTAATATTTATTTCGTACTTGCTTTATCATCACTTATTATTAGTATACTTGTATTATATGTAATAATTTGAAAAGTTTTATTAATAAAGAGACTGAATTTTAATGTTAATACAGATAAAGTCGTGCCTGTTTTCATAGTCAAATTTTGCTTTATAACATAAACATAATCCTCGGTAAACAAATTTTTTGACTGTTCAAAGACTAAAATCATTTTCCCGTAAGAATGAATGTGCTGGTAGTTTTTAATAATTCATATAAATAAGAAACAATACAAATCTATTAAATCTTAACAATTATAATAATTAAATTACTTACAATAAAATATAGACAAAAAATAACTTCATATTATTTGTACTCTGGTGAATTGATCATAAAACAGGAAAGTGTTGAGGAAGAAGAGTAATATACGCTCTCCCGGTATACATCTCACGTACCTGGTTGCTAGATTTCTTGTTAGATAACATAAATTTTGATCTTAACCCGAGGTGATTTTATTTATTTTATTTTTTCGAAAAATTGTTATTATATTTGCTAATTTTGCTCTCCCGGTATACACCTCACATACCTGGTTTCCACTGTAATAACATAGATAATGTTCGTAAACCGAGGTGTTTTTTATTTATTTAATTTGTTCGAGAAATAGTTGGTTTCCAGATTGTTTGTTAGGTAACACATATTTTGTTCGGAAAGCGAGGTGTTATATTTATGTTTTGTTCAAGAAATTGTGTCTCAAGTACCTGGTTACCAGATTGCTTCTTAAGAAATACATGTTTGTTCGGAAACCGAGGTGTTTTTGATTTATTTTTTCTGTTACTATGATTAAATTCAAATTTTATTATTATATTAAGGAAGTAAATATTTCACATTCTTGAAATTTGAACTAAACTAAAACTACCGCAAACACATAAATTATTGATTTATGAGAGTAATCCTTCTATTTCTTTTCCTTTATTGTTTCTCGTACAATAAGTGCGTATCTTTATACTTTCATCTTTTATTAAATTAGAATCTGGTAATCATATTAATTAGGAGATAATAAATACATAGTTTTTCTACGAACATTGCATTTTTCATGTATGAGTAATGAGTCGCGATCGAGGTTCTTGCACAATATATGCTGTTCTATGATGTAAATTTCATATTAATAACGTCGTTTCAAAAGTTCGTCATTTTTGAAAAACAAATGCATTCTAACTTTGTATTAACATTGCGCTGCAATATTTACATTAATTTTTATTGTTTAGTAGCCGGAAAGAACTCGGTCAACGGCTCCATTTAGTTTCGGGCGTTTGTTTGATAAATTTGTTCATTAAACTACAAAACATTTCCATACCAAATCATAATTGTTACAAATAATAATTAGCAATTAAATTGATTGAAAAATTAGAATCATTATGTATCGGGATGAAAACACAATTAATTTAATTAAACAAAATTAATGAAGTAAATTATATATACATTTCAATTTGATGAAACAACAGTTATTATGCTGAAAACGTAGCTTTTTATACATAAGTATTATGTACAATCAGAATTTATGTAACGTATATT